TTTTCAAAAAGTGCCTTTTTTGGTCACTCGCATTTCACCCTCGAAATTTCTTCAATGGTTCGATCAATTGAAACACGTTTTAGCCTATTTTGTAGAGGAGATTTACAACTTTCAAGTAGTTTATAACATTCATCGATATCAGGTTTCTATCGTTGGAAATTTATGAAAATGTTGAAATCCGCATTTCTTATGCAAGTACCTAATAATTGATAAGCTGACATAATTCCGACTCTCTAATCAAGCTCTGCACAGTCAATCGATATCTGACAACTGTTTTTACTCGTCTAGCAATTGTTGACAACTGGGTAAAGTTTGACAAACTCAATTTAATTAACTTTCTAACGAACAGACTGAAGCTCGGTAAGTGTGTTTGATCGTTTGGATTGAATTGTGTGATCTGTGAGCTTGTGAGCTTTAGATTGTGTGATTCGATGAAAAGAAATTGAAAAAACACGTTTTAGCCTATTTCATAGAGGAGATTTACAACTTTCAAATAGTTTATAACTTTCATCGATATCAGGTTTCTATCGTTGGAAATTTATGAAAATGTTGAAATCCGCATTTCTTATGCTTGCATCTAATAGGTCTGTCAATAAGGCAGTCATGGGTTCATTATTGCTTTTAAAATAAAGAATTAACCAAATCACTTGTGCTTTTTTCCATTTGAAAGTTCCATCTTTTTTCTAACAGTTACTCTTAAAAAAGCAAATCACCGTGCAAACTTTTTCTACTAACTTTCTTGCCAACCTAATAGAAGAGTTTTCTTGTGCAGACGCTAACTTTGAAATTTTCGTTCTCAGTGATTTTCTTAGCTAGAGTTGAATATAATATAAGAAATTCCAGTCAAACTTTTTCCGAGAACTTTCTTTCCAACCTAATAGGTCTGTCAAGAAGTAATGATCCTCTCCTTTATTTACAATTTTTGCAAAAGCCAAACCATAGATCTTTTTGATATTTTGGTATAATAATTATCAAAGAGATTAACATTATTGTACAAATTTTTAACTCAATCTGATGGCTGGGCTTTGAACAGGAGTCTTTAGAAAAGTAATAACTTGATTTTAATTTCTTCAAAATCTGCTTCAAACAAAAAGTTTTATTTCTTATTTCTTATTTCTCTCAAAGTAATCAATCAAATTTCCTCAAATTTTTGAAGGATCTAGAATCGAATTTTTGCCTATTATCTGGGAAAGTTTCATTCCAATCTGATGGGTTTTAAGTTAAAGTGGAAAAATGTTTCTTTCTATCACAATTTCTAAAGACTCCTGTTCAAAGCCCAGCCATCAGATTGAGATAAAACTTTGTACAATAATGTTAATCTCTTTGATAATTATTATACCAAAATATCAAAAAGATCTATGGTTTGGCTTTTGCAAAATTTTAAGTAAAAGAGAGGCTCATTACTTATTAACTGATATATTAAATATCGGCTTCAAAAATGAAGGGCTTTACGGTAAGAAAACCATCTTGTCAGTATCATAAGCTTTAAGATTGTTTATTTGATTTCATTTTGATTTCATTTTCTTTTCCTAGAACTTTTCACATCTTTGTTTTGCTGTGTGAAGCGATGGATATTCAAAGGCGGTGAAATTGTATCCAGTTTTGTAAACTATTGGTCAGCTGGTGTCGGCCGGGGAAAGAAATTGAAATCTGAGGATGTGGTTTGGTTGAAAGAAAAGAAAAGAAAAGAGAAGATCGGCTCACTCGGAAAGGTGAACAGGATACCAGGTGAACACAGATAAAAGAACATCGATCGATGGTTGAGGGGACTTACCAAAATAGACAGTTAAGAAGCAAAAAATAGACAATATAAACAGTTCAGAACCAAAAATAGACAATATAGACAGTTCAGAAGCAAAAAATAGACAATCTAGACAGTTCAGAAGCAAAAAATAGACAATATAAACAGTTCAGCAAAATGCATATAACAGCAGAACCAAATACAATCTAGACAGTTCAGAACCAAAAATAGACAATCTAGAGAGTTAAGAAGCAAAAATAGACAATATAAACAGTTCAGAACCAAAAAATAGACAATATAAACAGTTCAGAAGCAAAAAAAACTTACCAAAAACCGATAAGTTTGAAGTTTGATGGGTAATTAGACTTTACTTGAACAGATTTCTAGACCATTAACTATGAAAATTGATTAAAAAATCAACAATTAACACAATAATCAGAAGTAGACCATCCTCAGTGTAAGCTTGTAAAAGAAATCGAAATTTTGCTGCTTTTTGAAAACAGATAAGCAAGATTTCATCTGCCTCTTTTACCTATTAAATTAAATTTAAAGAAATAGCCGAAGTTTAAAAACATTCCTTATCTAGACCCATTAGAAATATGCAAATGAGGCAGATCCAATCTAGACATAGAAAAACTCTAATCCAAACCGAATTCCACCTTTGTTTTCTCGCCCGTTTCTTGGTCGATTGCTCTGAAATTTTGTCTACAAGCTGAAAATGTCGATTTCTATCTGTAGACAAAATTTCAGTGCAATTGGCCAAGAATTCGCCAAGAAAACCAAGGTGGAACTAGGTTTGGATTAGAATTTTCTCATGCTGAATGCAATCTGTAACACTGCCAATCCCCAATTACTGCCCAATCTCTAATTCTACTGTTTCTGGAGTTTGTTTCTACAGGAAATTCTAGAAGAAGTGAAGGAATTGACAAGAAAAAGTAGATTTCCGGAGATGGGATTGAACCCTTGACCTTTTGCTTTGCTCTTTTGCTTTGCTTTGCTCTGTTGCTTTGCTTTGCTCTGTTGCTTTGCTTTGCTTTACTCTAACCACTGAGCTATCAGGGACTTTAACTTTCCAAGAGAAAGTGGGAAAGACAAGGGGGAAAGACAAGAAGTTTACAACTGCAAGCCACTAATTCGACAAATGATTCGCCTCATTCAGTTGAGTGTTTGTAAATGATTTACGGTCGTTTGCAGTAATCACCAAGCAGCCATTGAGGGGTTTATGATGTGCAATATCGAAGAAAAGAGGTCAAAGAAAAGGGGCACCTGCTCCTATCCACTCCTCAACTCTCGAATCAAATGACAATTTGATGGGGCCACCATTTTACAATCAATCGGCGCAAATCGGTAAAGAAAAGGATGCCGCTGAGAGTGAGGATTTGACTGAAATCATTGAATAGCTCTAGTCAAAGAGCTTGCGCAAGTCAGAGGCTATTTTTTGTGGTTCTGTATAGCTGGGGAGTGTTCAGTAAATGGCTTCTATTTCTGGTTGTGCTTATCCAATAAAATGCATCAATAAGCTCATTTAGATCTCTATAGCTGTATCAAAACCTGGATTTAGACTGACCACAGTCTGAATTGGTTGTAATCATTTTGCAAGGACAAGTTGGACAAGTTAGTCAAGTTTGTTGCAGCTTCAATTGCGTTTAGACTGTGTCACTCGTGATTAATGCGCTTTCTAAAGCGTGCGCTTCAAAAAGGCTGCAGTAACGTGTTACGGTTCCAAGATCCAAGAGCCAAGATCCAAGATCCAAGATCCAAGATCCAAGATCCAAGATCCGTGTTGATCCAAGATCTCTCCATTTTGCTTCGATCACTCACATCCCACTTGTCCTCTTTGCCTTCACTTGATCGCTCCAAATTGACTTCATTTTGAAGTGTTTCCTCGGCGTTTCCTCGTTCGTAGGTTACTAAGTAGACGAAGCAAGACTTTGTATAAATGAAACATTTTATAAAACAAGGGTAGAAGAACATGCTTTTGACCTTGATCCAAAGGCCGAAAGGTGTTGGAAGTTTGTAATGGCTCAAGATTTATAATAGCTGTTGTCTTGGCTCAAGGCATGGCTCAAGGCATGGCTCAAGGCATGGCTCAAGGCATGGCTCAAGGCATGGCTCAAGGCATGGCTCAAGGCATGGCTCAAGGCATGGCTCAAGGCATGGCTCAAGGCATGGCTCAAGCCTAGTAACTCAACCTGCGACTCGGTTAGTCGCAGATTTGGAGTTACCCCAAGCACAGAGGAATGTAACGCACCGTGTCCGTTGAAATTCAACTACGGGTTGACTACCACATAGAATACAGCCATTAAGACGATTATTTCGTTGACCAGCAACTCCACAAAATAATGATCTTGACTTTCAAGAGTTATGCTTAAGTTAAGAATTTGAGGTCCTATTTTGGAATTAGGTAGTTTAAGAAAGGGTTTAAATAAAATTTGTTTCTTCAATCTTTCTTCAAAATTTGTTTTGATGGTTTCAATGGTTTCAATGGTTTCAATAGACTTTTTTCTGTATTGTGATTGATTGCTTGGATTGGTTGAAGAAATCAGTACCGTACTGGACAATGAAATATCATATTTGAAAAACGATCGTCACTTTCGCGCGTCTGTAACTTCCCTTGTCTTTGAGTTTAAACTATTAATTTTATACATTTTCTGAAAGCTCTTTTCAAGGGCTACACAATGGTAATATTAATATTTAGAAATACGGTAAAGACAATGGAGTTATAGACGCGCAAAAGTGACGGTCGTTTTTCAAATATGATATTTCATTGTCCAGTAGTGTAGATACTTTTTAGTGCGCAAATTCTAATGTAACAGATTCTAAGATACAGATTTTTTTTAAACAAAAAGCCTTTTAAACAAAAAAGAAAGGCGCCAAATCTTATTAAATCACTAAAATTATTGATCTTTGTTAATGCCTGTTAAAATTATTTTGCCAATTCTTTTGCCAAATTTTCTTTGCCTTTACTTCAAATAGTTTTCTGATGTTCAACTTGTGAAATTTCAAGCCGGAATTTCCGATGGGGGTGGATTCAGTGCGATTATCGTTAATCCTTTCAGTGGATCCCTTATCTTGTCACGTGTTTCACAAATTGAGAAGCGCTTTGCGTCAATCCTCAGAAGTGATTTCATGCAAAAATGTTTGCATCCCCGGATCCTTTCTTTTAAAGAAGTCTTGAAAGCGGGATTATCCAATTTTTATTAAAGATCTCGGATGAATGAAAAGATAAAAGAAAATAAAAGAAATAAAAGTTAGATCAATCACCAAGTCGAGCGGTATGCGAGGATCTGTGGTGACGGACGGATAGCTTCCGGAAGTCATCCTCCTCGCGGTGACAAGCACGGTGGAGGCAACTAGAATTGGGTTTAGAGATTTGGATTTGAGTCGGTAATGTAAAGTTTATAACTCTTGAGTAGATTTTGGGTATTTGCGTCGGTTTTGCTTGGTTCTAAGTGATTATAACACTTATTAGTTTGGTGGATAAGTCTTGACACTTAATACGGTTCCAATGCGGTTCCAATACGGTTCCAATTTTCCTACTTTCGTTCAGAAATTCCATCAATTGATCCAAATAGATAGAAAAGAAAATGTAATTAAAAAACGTTTATTGTTTGCTTTTCTTTCTTTTTAAACCAATCTAGCTTCGTTTCCAAGCGAATTTGTGCATAAAAACGCGTTTTTGGTAAAATCCGATTTAAAAGCTCTACAAAGAAATTGGCTAAATCAATTTCACTAAAAATCTACTGTATATAATTGAGGGCTGTCTGTCTGTCCGTCCGTGCGTACGAAAATTCTTAGAGGCCTGGAGGAGCAGGTGTGGCCGAAGGTATAGCGCGGCGGTTTCCAGATCCGGGAATGGTGGGTTCCGGATCTAGACCGCGGGAGATTCTTTTGCTTTTTTGTTATTCAATGAAAGAAGTTGTCTTTGCTATGAATTATCTAATTGGAAAATGTTCGTTTTTTCAGAAAAAAAGATCAGGGAACGGGTTTTTCGGGCTGAAAATTGATACCCGGGGGCTTTCGACCATGCTGATGCCGAATCTGAAGTCAGATTCGAGGCCTGTGAGCAAGTTAGCAAATTAGCAGCAAGTTAGCAAGCAAAGTTAGCAAGGTTTGGCCAAACGAAGTGTCGCGTAGTCGCTACTCAGGGCTCGGCTCGAGTTGGACCGATTACGATGTGTGCTATATTTTAGGATAGGACAATTTCTCCGCGCGGCCGTGTAGCGGATGCCAATCGCAGCTGGTTTAGCTATATACCTGACTTTTTGTGCTCTTTCTTTTTTCTATTGACAGCAAAATCGGTTTCTATGGATTAAAGTGCGTAAATCGATTAGGGAGTCACCATTTTTGACTCTTCAACTTCGCGCCGATGAAAAAATCCGAAACTGAAACCTTTTCAAAAGATTTTAACGCTCTTTTGCAGAAAAATACTTGGCTTTTCTATTAAAATTTAAGTCTATTAGTGAATTTCATTTCATTTCATGTCATTTCTAAACGAAAAGCTGAAAAAAAGCGATCAAGACATCAACCTAGTAGAATTTAACTAATTGAAAACTAATAGAGCTAAAGTTTAGCCAAAAATCTGTAGATTTTACAACAATTGTAGCTTAGTGAGCTAAAATTGATCTGCAGAACTTTGCAGAACAAATTTCATTTCCAATTTTAAAGCTCAACCTTCAACTCACTTGCTTGGCTCCAACTCATCTTGTGAAACGACAGCAATCGCACAATCAAAAGTGCTTTCAATTGAATTTTGAAGTGGAAGAGCTCTCGGGCTTTCTGATTTATCTAAACCAAAAAGTATATAAATATATTATATATAAAACTATAATATAATATAATATAACATAATATAATATAATTTGGATAAAATACTATATATTGTATATATGTCGTAGCCGTTTACGAAATTCAGCCGCTAACGAATGAGGGTATTGCAGAAAAATTTAGTTAGTTAAATTAAATTTGATTCATTAATCTTTAACATTTAGGCTCATCCGGAATCGGTTTGAAAGGTCCAACAACAATTTTCTTGCCGATGACGTCTTTTCCGTTTTGCATAAATGTTTGAAATTAAAAACATGGTAAACTGAGTTGAATAGAGCTATGTTTGCATAAGCATAGATCAAATTGGAATCGAATTGGAATCGAATTGGAATCGAATTGAAATCGAATTTGAATCGAATTGGAATCGAATTGGAATCGAATTGGAATCGAATTGGAATCAAATTGGAATCGAATTTGAATCGAATTGGAATCGAATTCGAATTGAATTGGAATCAAATTGGAATCCAATTAGAATCCGATTGGAATCGAATTGGAATCAAATTTGAATCAAATTTGAATCAAATTTGAATCGAATTCGAATCGAATTCGAATTGAATTGGAATCAAATTGGAATCAAATTGGAATCCAATTAGAATCCGATTGGAATCGAATTGGAATCAAATTTGAATCAAATTTGAATCAAATTTGAATCCGATTGGAATCGAATTGGAATCGAATTGGAATCGAATTGGAATCGAATTGGAATCGAATTGGAATCGAATTGGAATCGAATTGGAATCGAATTGGAATCGAATTGGAATCGAATTGAAATCGAATTGGAATCAAATTGGAATCAAATTGGAATCCAATTAGAATCCGATTGGAGTCGAATTGGAATCGAATTGGAATCGAATTGCAATCGAATTGCAATCGAATTGAAATCGAATTGGAATCGAATTGGAATCGAATTGAAATCGAATTGGAATCAAATTGGAATCAAATTGGAATCCAATTAGAATCCGATTGGAGTCGAATTGGAATCGAATTGGAATCGAATTGCAATCGAATTGCAATCGAATTGAAATCGAATTGGAATCGAATTGGAATCGAATTGGAATCGAATTGGAATCGAATTGCAATCGAATTGAAATCGAATTGGAATCGAATTGGAATCGAATTGGAATCAAATTGGAATCAAATTGGAATCGAATTGGAATCGAATTGGAATCGAATTGGAATTTCATTCGTAAACGGCGACGACATATGCATTTTTAGTTTAGTTTAGACGACAGTTTTACCTCTTCGTCTTAAGAGTCTTTTTGAAAGAAGTGGAGACGCGGCACCAACACGATTCAGCACTAAAATTCTCTGGTCATTCGTTTTCTATTATAGTAAACTGATAAATTTTCAATAAGATGATCTTCAAGAAATTTCAAGTTTAAACTCACATTGTCTAACAGAGTTATTCCTTTCCAGATCGGGTTTTCTTTTGTAACTTAATGCGGTTGATGGTTGAGTTTTGCTCTCAGGAAGTTCCGGCACAGACATTCTTCGAATTCGACTACTTCTAAAGTTCTCAGTGATTCTTTGATGATGATAATGATGAGTGAACTCAAGTCAGTATCAAAATCAAAACATTTTGAAAGTCAGATTCAAAATAAACACCAGTATCTATTCTAAATTCAAATCCCAACACTTACTTTTTTCTTGGAGTCACCGGTGGTGGTCCATGATGCTCGGAGATCCTGAAAATACAGAAGTTATCAAGTTGTCAAAATTTAAGTTATTTCCTACAATCCAGATCTGATTCCTTGCATCACTCGTCTCAACACCGATGCCGAGCGATCTCTTGGTCTCTCTCGCATAAAGCGTTTCACAATTGGCGAATGTTCTGCGGACAACATGTCAAATTCGGCTAATTGCGCCACTGAGAGGCAGAAACCCTGCAATCTCTTTTGTTATTGCTTGATCCTTTGAATTATAGGTTTCATTCTGGATATAGTTCTGATAGAGTTCTATTCTGGATATAGTTCTGATAGAGTTCCATTCTTGATCTGGTTCTGATAGAGTTCCATTCTCGATCTAGCTCTGATAGAGTTCTATTCTGGATCTAGTTCTGATAGAGTTCTATTCTGGATCTAGTTCTGATAGAGTTCCATCCCCGATCTGGTTCTGATAGAGTTCTATTCTGGATCTAGTTCTGATAGAGTTCCATTCTCGATCTGGTTCTGATAGAATTCTATTCCCGATCTAGTTCTGATAGAGTTCTATTCTGGATTCACGGCAGATTAACGAATGACAAATTTATCTAGATTTCGAAAAGTTTTCACGTTTTAGGAAATGCTTTGCTATTAGTTCGAAGGCAACACTAAATACTAATGGTTTTCTTCTTACTATAGCTTATCCACCGTTCCTCAAAAAGATTTTTGATCACATGATGTAACTGTAATCAGATTCTACCAATGACTAATAAAATTAGCTGGGAATCATCATGTAGTGAACACGGCTTTAAACAAAAGCTTGTGGCAATCATCTGATCAAAAGCCAGCAATCATATAAGATGAGGGCCAAAGCCGATCCAATCCACCCCGTCAAAACATAACAGGATGGAATTTCCCAAAAAAACATTTCTCTACGGCTATTGTTGGAGATTATTGAAGCTTATTGGAGATTATTTTATTGGAGATTAGCTCTAAATCCTCACATCGGCTTCAAGTTCGGCCGAGATCTTCTCGTTTTGAAGAAGTTGACGAAACATGCCCATTTCTTCGTGATTACTCACACGGACCACAATTTGTTTTACGGCGATCCACATCTGAATTCTGGAGATTGATTGGGGTATAATAAACAAACAGAGATAGGACTTTAAGAGACAGCCACTTTAAGAGAGTTCTTTAGGAAACAGGCAGCTTAGGATACGGTAATGGAGGAAACAGGCAGCTTAGGATACGGTAATGGAGTACGGTACTTAGGATACGGTACTGGGCTTTTACGCAAGGATATTGTAGGACTACTGTAACGAAAAAACCTGTAACAAAAAAAGCAAAAACTTTGGCGGCAAGTGGAATTGAACTCCCGAGTCTAGCAGTCTAGCTGGCTTTGGAGTCTAGCACACTATCCCCTAGACCACCGATGCTTTCCTTCCCCTCGGCGTGGCGCCTTGTTATAGGTGAGATTTGCCAAAAATTGTCGAAACTTTGAACACGGTTTTTCTCAAAAACCAGGGCCTTTGGAGAAAAAATAAAAAATAGAATTTTTAGAATGTTTCTGAGAATTCTACGGGGGCTTTTTGTAGCTAGACTTAGCTAAGCTAAGTCGAAAACAAGGGTTGAAACAGTTAGGAGTCCATTATTAAGAGAAATTTACCGTATTTGATATGCCGATAGACTTGCTGATAGCTATACTACTGGACAAGGAAATATCATATTTGAAAAACGATCGTCACTTTCGCGCGTCTGTAGCTCCCTTGTCTTTACCGTATTTCTAAATGTGAATATTACCATTGTGTAGCCCTTGAAAAGAGCTTTCAGAAAATGTATAACACTAATAGTTTAAACAGAAAGACAAGGGAGTTACGGACGCGCGAAAGTGACGATCGTTTTCCAAATATGATATTTCATTGTCCAGTAGTGTACAAAGCAGTATGAACTTTACTACCTACAGCTATCATATTTTATGATAATTTTTGATTCAAGAAGATATAAAAATTGTTCAATCTCAGAAGCTAAATCGATTCTCCTAAAACCCACAGAGATCGTGAAATTTTTCGCCAAACTCGACAACAAAATCGAAGCCGCAATCCCGATTGGCAGCGATCCAGCAGAGAAATCGAAAAGCTAAACGAGAAGAATAATTTTCAAATAGTTTACAAACCACTGAGTATTTATAACATTTTCGCTTCTTGAAACGATTGTTCTCAATGAAGTTTGAGATGTGAAGAAAAGCTTGATCACAATGAGTCTTCAAATTGTCGGCTGACTCATGCAAGGAATCTCCATCACACCAATAGAGTTGAGCAACCACTATAGTTTTGATTTCCAAATAGATTCAAAGATTTGTTTTACCTTTTCGATGATCGATTCGATCGATCCAGGTCCGATTCGTGATTGGCAATGGTTCCTTTTTGACGAGGTTCTCCGATTGGTATCCGATCCAATCAACCCCCGTTCGGAAAACTTGTTCCAGTAAGTCTAGAAAGACTCTAGTATAAAGCTATAAAGCTATGAAGCTAGAAGGCTATAAAGCTATAAAGCTATAAAGCTATAAAGCTATAAAGCTACAAAACTATAAAATTATAAAACTATAAAGCTCTAACCTTTCTAAACCTTTAAATGTTATATATAGTGGTCCACAGCATTGCTTGCTTTGCTGTGAACATTGCTCTTCTCACTTACTACAGAGTGTTATTGGAACCAGTAGATTATTGGGTTTAAAGCTCGCTTTGTACAAATCTAATGTCAAAAAAGAAAGAGACATATGAAACACATAAACTTTAACAAGTTTAAGTCACTTGTTAAAAAAAATTATTGTCTTTTGCACTCTTGCTTGCCTAGAAACACCTGTGGAAAGCGCATGGAGGTCGGATGAATTGAGTTTGCTACAAACTCTTGTTAAGCTTTCTTAGAAAGACTAAAACTGAACTTTTGGAAGAACTGAAATGTGATTCTAATATTTTTAATATCTCGTTTTGATACATCGAACTTTTGATGCATCGAACCTGATTTAGAAAATAACATCTAGGTCCGACAGATCCCTTAAAACACAGACAGATTACGTTACAGACAGATTAAAATCAATTTACTATAAAGATTCAACTCTTTCACTGAACTAAGTAATGTCAAATCCTTTTAGTTAAAGCTATAAAGATATATAAACTAGCTTTTTGTGCTGTGGAAGCTGGTTTCTCAGCTTTTTTTGTTGTGGAAGCTGTTTCTGAGATAAAAAGCCAGCGAGTGATTTGCTTTAAAGCTTCAAAAGAGTAGTTAAATTGGTTTGTATTGCAAGGAAATATTTTGATGCATCGAACCTGATTTAGAAAATAACATCTAGGTTCAACAGATCCCTTAAAACACAGACAGATTAAAATCAATAAAATCAATCAAATCAATCAAATCAATCAATTTACTACAAAGATTTAACTCTTTCATTGAACTAAGTAATGTCGTTTTTTTAGTTTTTATACAGTCGAACCTCCTTAGTGAACCTCGAGTGAACACCTCGATAGTGAGCTAACCTCGATAGTGAACTAACCTCAATAGTGAGCCAACCTCAATAGTGAGCTAACCTCGATAGTAACCGGTTTTTTAGGATCCCCCTGAATTGATTTAGTACTAAATAAACCTCGATAGTAAACGGTTTTTTAGGGTCCCTTCCATAGTTCACTAACAAGGTTCGACTGTACTTGAAATTCCGGCAAATCGTCCGCGATCAAACGCCCGATTTATAAATTTGTTACTAGTAAAAGATAGAATTCTTCTGGAAACATTTTATTTGACGCTTTTTATACATTTTTATTCAATATTCATAAAACAAGCTAAAAAAAATCTAAAGTTAATTGGTATTTGCCTTAAAATCTATAAATCCAGTAAAGGGTTTTGAACTTTTGACTTTTGACAGAACTTTTGGAGCACCAGAAGTCAAACCAGATCTGGCAAGCCTTAGCTTTTGTTAGGAAATTTGCTTTTGGAAGAACTCTGGCTGTTCACAGTGAGTTCACAGTTGAGTTCACAGTTCACAGTTGTTTTTATTGCTTACTAAAATCTCGATCAGAATCAAATAGCGATGGTCTTCTTTGTATCCACATATCCACATCCAAATCGTATTGCCGAAGAATATCAGCATCAGAAGCAAATATAATCTCCATCAGAAGATCAGAAGAAACTGCTGAAGATCAAATTTTCAATTCAAATTACTAAACTGGTTTCCAGTATAGTTTTAAACTAAATTGAAATTCGAAGAATGAAATGAACTGTGAAGTCAGATTGAATTTGAAAGATTGAAGTCATCCGGGTAAATGCATTTACATCAATTTCCCAATTTTGGTTTCTAATCAAAGTTTTGTTAAAGTTTTGTTAAAACGATTATTCAATTGGGAACTTTTTTTCCCTAATCCAAAAGCGCTCAAGTGGAAAGGGATTCATCTCAACTTTGCTTCCTGGAAAAATAGAGATCATTTTGATGAAAGTGTGTAAACGATGAATCGAAAAATCTCTTTATTTGTGATTCAACAGAAAAATGTGCCTCAAAAAGCTCTAGTACAAAGGATTTTATTAGGTTGTTCGGATATAAACGAGCGTTTGCACTGCTTAACTCGTGAGGAAGCCATTTTCCACATTTGATCGCCTTTCCAATGGCGTGGAGATGCACATCAATAGTAGAATTTGAACATAGAAATTGTATAAGTATAATAATAGAAATGTATAATAGAAAGCGCAAGTTCACGCGTCGTTTGACATGGATCCGATTCGATTGCAGTCCTCAAAATAACGTTGTCTACCGCTTGAGGTAGACAGCGATATTCTTGACAAGAGTGTTCATCATTCTCGAGACTTTCATCACCATTCCGAAGGCCTTGGAACCAGGCTCGGCATCGGCTTTCGGACAATACATCATTCCCAAATGCTTTGACCAAATCTCGATGGGATTCCGCGACTGTTTTGCCCAGTTTGAAGTCGAAAAGTAGGCAGACGCGAACTTGATATACTTGAAGTCGATCTAAACTCTAGATCTAGATCTAAAGCAAGAAAAAAATCTTAAAAATAAGAAATTATCCGTTTAAAAAGGTTCCAAATATGCACAAGATAACGTACTTTTTAAATAAAGAAAGACATTTTTTAAACGCTTTTCTCGCAACAATAAGTTTAGCAACGCCTGTTTATATCCGAACAACCCAATAGGTTCACTTGGTTTTAGGTTCAAATTTTGAAGTTTTTAAGAGGGTTGCTGCTTTTTTGAAACTTGTAAAAGGTCCACTAATTAAACAAAGAATAAGCTGATTTTGTTTACAAACAGGATTGGGATGAAATCGCGATTTACTATCCCTATTTTCCTACCCCAGTTACTATTCCTAGTAAAATTTTCATTACCGCTTGTAAAATCATTATCACTCCAAGAAAAACCTGTATTATCACTCGTCAAATCTTTACTAGGATTATCAAAAACTCAATTTTTATAATATGTCAATTTTTAAAAACTACAGTAACATTCTTCAAGCTTTTACCGAATCTATTCTGATCTGGTCCGGAAGGTCAAAATTAACGAACAAAAACACCACAAGCAAGATTACAAGCAAAAACAAATATTTTGGAAAATTTGGCCTTTTTTTGGTTGGTTTCCTTCATTTTAGAAAGCCTACTGCTTGAGAGGGGAACACACTATTAGCCTCGTAGTACAGACTGCCGCAGAATTACCCGCACTCAGTTCAGATTCTCCAGCTTAGCGAAGAATCAATCAATCGACCTAATTATTTTTTTATTATCAAATGGTTTGGTTCGAATCCTTTTACTGGCTGAGCAAAGCTTGTAAGCAGATGGACTAGGGAGCCCTATAGATCGATCTGAAAACTGAAACGGCGCGATCTGAAACTCGATCCAGATTTGACAACGTTCCCTAATTAGTGAATTAGACTAGGAAATTGTTATTCGTCTAGTGATGCTCCTATTTTTGTACATTTTAGTATTTTGGTGCTGTTCTTATTGACACAATTTGAAAACAACGAGTTACTCGAAAGATTATAACCAATGATCTCAACTCAAAAAATGTAAGCTAAGCAATGGCAAGCTGATGAAAAGTATCCCATTATTGAATAGAAAAATATCCAAAAAAAAGTCAGATTGATTTGTTTTTTCACCCACATATAAATAATAACAAAAAACACCGGTAAAACTGGTAAAAACTGGTAAAAACTAGTAAAAACTACTCCCCGATCTTGAACGAGCTAATCAGATTCAACTTCAATCAGATTTCGATAAAGAAACTCTCAAAGAAGTTGAAAATTCAGTCTACAATTGTGCATAAATGATTGTGGTTTTGTTAAGTGAAAAAGGGGGGAAATCACATGAAAATCGGATAAGTGGTGGAGAAAAGAAAAGGGAGAATAATTCCATGGAAACATTTCCACCCCATTCTCCTCATTTTCCCCTTCAATTCTCTTCATTTTCTTTATCCAATCCCGAATGTTAACCCGGGATTAGTGAGAAAAAGCTGAGAAGAAAGGAGGATTTTCTCAAAGTTTTTCACTTATTTTTAATCTAAAATTATGAAACGATTACTAGTCCATCAAAAAATCCAAAAGATGAAAGTGATGTAGCTACATTGGTTGCAAAACGGTGAAGATTAAATGTTACTTTTCGCTTTCTACACGAAATCGTTCAAGTGAAAATAAAATGAGAACATTTTTGAGTAAAAGAAAGGCTAAATATGATACGTAGTTAGAGTTTTGGGCCTCAAAGGCTTCAAAAACAGGCTTCAAAAAAGGATAACAAATTTGCAAAAAAGAGAACACCATACAGCTTAAGTTTTACTAGAGAATTCTGTGAGATTCCCTGGTGAAACGATGAAAGAAACTTTGAAATCATCGATGAAATGTCAGATTGACCAAGGTCGCATTTGAAAACTCGTTCCCGCTTTAATAAAATTCCCTAATTAACAACAATAAAATTTGTTGAGTGCCAAATTTTTGGTGTCATTTCACTTTTTTGGGTAAAGTTTGAGAAACTCAATTTATTAGGTACATGCATAAGGAATGCGGCTTGTTAAATTGCTTCTGGAAAAAAAGTTAGACTTTTGTTTTTGATTTAGTCAAGTTTGACTGTTTAGATTAAATGATTAAATTGCTAACTTTAAGAGCTTAGTTACTGTAGCACTTACCGTCAAGGAAACTATAAAATGTAAGTTTGGTTTTGTTTTGTTTTTGTTTAGTCAAAAAAAATGATGCGAAACCAAAAATTTGGCAATTTGGCACTCAAATATAATATAATAGAATAGTTTATTAAAAAGAATTTTAAAAGAACATGAGTAAACATACAAAAAGTACAAAAAAGTACAAACAAAAAGTACAAAAAGCCGCTTGGATCGATGATATTGATTAGCAAGTCTAGTGCAAGAATTAGTACTCAACCTAATAGCTTTGGTCGAATCCTACTTCAGGATTAGACCAAAGGTACCAAAGGTTTGCAAGGGACCAAAGGTTTGCAAGGGACCAAAGGTTTGCAAGGGACCAAAGGTTTGTTTTTATTAAAATCAAATAAAGAGCCATCAATCGATCGTTTCGGCAAGGTAAATGCTTGAAAACAGATCTATTTTGGTTCATAATCTTTTAAAAAGCGTAACTGCCTATTTGTGCTTTGCTTGTCTAGCGGGTTGCCTGTTCATAACTCATTGAGTGATGAAATCATGGTACAAAAAGTACTTGAACATTACCCAATCAGCAAGGGGAAACGAGATTCGACGCAATGTTTTCTAATCAAAGTTTACCGAAAAGAAAGGAACTTTCTGAAAAGCCTAATATTAATTTCTAACATATGATAGAATATGATAGAAATTTGTTGGAACGAGGCAACAAGTTTCTATCATATTCTATCATATATTAGAAATTAATATTAGGCTGTTCAGAAAGTCTTTTCGTTTCTTTTCATACTTCCGTTGAAAAATAACAAACTCATCAATTGACCTATGGAGTTAAATGAGCCATAGCTCTTTTCTTAGCTTCCTTGGCTGCCAAAGGCTAGATTCTATCTTGTGCCTTCGTCCATTTCTATTTTGCACTCGATTCTATCGCATTTTTCTTCAAATTGGCCTAAAATTGCCGACATAAACGCGTTTTAATGTTATTTTGCCGAAAAATAATTGGCTTTCGAACGAAATAAACCGTAGTTCAATTGATGCATTTGTTGGTTTTAAACGAAAGTACGATTGGCTACGATAATTGGCTTTCGAACGAAATAAACCGTAGTTCAATTGGTGCATTTGTCGGTTTTAAACGGAAGTCCGAAAAGAAACGAAAAGTCTTTTTGAACAACGTTCTTTAAAAGATTATAAACCATATGATGTAGGTTTTAAAATGCCATAAAAACGAGTTAAAAAAGGGGTTTTTGCTTGATTTCATTGGCCTAATAAATCCGAAAAAATTTATCCAAAAATCCTTCTTTCATCCAGCAAAAAAACGAAAAATATTCCCCTTTTCTGGCCCAAGAATAATCAGCTGGAAAATTGGATTTCTTGGTGGGAAAAGGAGAGAAAATGAAGATGAAAGAATTGAGTGAGTTCTTTCCACTCAAAGCACTAATCAAGAAGTAATTTTGATTCTAGGAAAAAAAGAAGAATGCGATATCTAAAAGATTTTCGAAGATGAATGAAAATTTGACACAATAGAGCTACTTTGAAGTGATTCTTGAATGGGTTGAAAGTTTTTGATTAGATTTTTGGTTGAATAGAACCCAGATTTTGAAGTTAAATTTGTGATTGGGTTTTGTAGATTATACAGGGTGACCAAGAATTACCGCAACAACTTTTTGGAAGAGTATCTGGGAAATGTCTAATTTATTTCAAAAGTGGCAAGTGTTATACAGAGAATTGTAGGCCTAATTCTCGGCAACATTTATCTGCCAAAAACATCCCGATTGAACTTATACAACTCATTTAACAAGCGCTTGAATGAGCGCTAGTCGACATCTCATTTGGCTCTCATTTGGCGAATCTGTCATTTGGCCACTTTTTTGAAATTAACATTGGAGAAATCGACTTAATTTAGTCATAGCTTTTAAAATCGGCATTTAAAATAGCAAATTATGCAATTTGGGAGTCATAACTGCCTCGAAATAACATAATTATGCAATTTGAGAGATTTATTGCAATGAGGATATA